GTTCCCTTTGTTGTTCCTTGTATCTTTGCTATGACAAGATTTTTAATTTGAACTTTTGCTTTGCAGGCTAACTTCCTTGCTTCCGAGAGCCTTCAGAGGTTGATCCTTGATAAAGAAAAACTCACATTCGAGCAGGATCAAATTGATGTCCGCCTCCTTGCACTGGAAGCACAAGCAGCTGAGGTCGTTGAGTTGGAGGCCCAGTTGCAAAAAAGCGAGGAAGAGGGGTGACCCTCAGCCAAGAAGCCGCCCTGTTAAGGGTACAATTTGAAGAGGCCAAGGCAAAGTGGGTCGAGGTCCAAAATGGTGTTCTTGTTGTTGCCGATCGCGAGGTTGCCTCTACTAAAAGACCGGATAACTTGGAGGAAGCCTTGAACTCCAAAGCTGAAGAAGTTGTTGCTGCTGCGGAAAATCATTCTCGGTTGGAAGAGAGACATAAGAGGGTCATAGAGCATAATAAAGTTTTTAACTCCACTATCTGTGACCTTGATGTCAGCCTCCAGGCCGCTAGATCTAAATAGAATAACCTTTCGATCGAGGTTGACCGGCTTAAGGAAGAACTTCAACGCCGAGCGGCTTCCCTCATTGTTGAAAAAACATATTCTATGTATAGCATGAGGAAAAAAACCTTGGAAGAGGCCAAAGCGGGCGCCATTGACTTTGATGCCGAAATGGCCAAGGCCCGTAAGCTGGAATCAACTGCCCGAAGGGGTCTCCCGGTCCAATCTGATGTGACTGATTCTTCTGGTTCAGATTTCGAGTTCTCGGGAACTGAATAAGAACCTGGAGGGGATGATGGTGAAGGCCAAGATCTTGAGCCGGCGGCAGATCCGCCTACTTCTCCTAGGGGTGCATATGTTTCTCTTCCCCCGGATCCTGAGATGCAGTATCTTAGCTTTTTGCTTTCTTTTCACTTTGCTTTTCCTTTCCATACTTTTGTACTTATGCTGCTTGGTACGTTTATTGTATGTAGAAGTGCTTTTTAATTTAAGTATTACGCAAATTTTACTTTTTTGCGACGAGTTATGCAAGGTGTTGTGTGTATTTTTCCTCGATAGCATTTAGATTTGATGGATATAAATTACTCATTTATTTTCATATGTAAAAAATAAGTTTTTAAAATAAAATATGAATAATAATATCCTATCCTCGCATATTTTCTAACAAATCGTGTAGGAAGAAGAAATTATGAAAAAGAAAGAAAGAGGCTAAGACAAGAGAATGAAGCAAAGCCACAGTTGCACACATCATCTTCATATTTGCAAATGTGAAATATACATATGGGCTTATGGAAAGAGACAATTAGAAATGAAAAGGAGCATAGTTGTATATGTGAAATCTATATACGCAAGGTCACATTCGCATACATGAAACCTTCATTTGCAAGTCTAACACATAAAGTCATGAATGGAAGCAAAAGAGCTATAGATGCATATGTGGAATCTATATACGCAAAGGTCACATTTGCATACGTGGAATCTATGTTTGCAAGACTAACTCATGAAGTCTGGTGGCCGTTGGTCCCATGGTACTCACACCATAAATTAGGATACCTTCGACTGGTATCGGATTTCATTGGCTTCGGGAACCGTGCTTCCTTAATGTTGCTCATAGCCGACACTAATTCCACCACGCTGACGTTGAAGTTGTATTCGGATAACCTGGGGTAGGTGGAGTCTCGGGAGCCCGATACCTCTTTGTCCTGCAATGACATGCTGTTTCGGTCGCGATCAACTCTCCTATCGGTAGAGAATCTATCCGCTGACCGGAAACCTATGCCGCATCTTTCGTCCAATTTATAGGGCAAAATCGACCTTTAGAAGACTGTTGATCTTGTCAAAGTCATCCTTCGATTTCTCCTTATTCTTCTCCCCGTCCCGACCCCTGGTTGATGTCGAGAAACCGAGTTGGTCATCCTAAATTCTTATCTTTGACTCGTACCGGTTGTGAACATCCGCCCATGTTGTTGGCTGGAATTTGAGCAGACTTTCTTTCAATTTTCGGGAAGCTTCAGAACTTCTAGGATTCAACCCTTTAGTATATGCTTCAGCTGCCCATTCGTCTGGTACGACCGCTAACATTTATCCTTTCTTTTTGGAATCTGGTCACGAACTCCCGCAGCAATTCAGATTCTCCTTGTGTAATCCTGAATATGTCGGCCTTTTGGGCCTATACCTTCCTGACCTCGGCATGGGCCTTGATAAAAGAGTCTGTGAGCATCTCGAAGGAATCTGTTGAGTGCTCGGGTAAAAGCAAATATCATGCCAGGGCCCCTTTCGTGAGGGTCTCCCCGAATTTCTTCAGTAAGACTGACTCAATCTCATGCGGAGCTAAGTCGTTCCCATTCACCATCGTTGTGTAAGTGGTGATATGCTCCTGAGGATTCGAAGTCCCATCATATTTCGGAACGTCTGGTATCTTGAACCGCTTCGGGATCAACTCTGGTGCCACGCTTGGTTTGAACGGCAATTGACTGTATTTTTTTTTAATCCGGTCCTTTCAATAGTGGCGGTGCACCCAGAATTTGATCCATTCGAGCGTTTATTTCCCTCATAAACCGCATGAGTTCGATTTTAAAGGGATCATTCTCACTGTTGTTACTGGATCCGCTACCGTTCCCCCTGCCCTGTCAAAGTCGACTTCGCCCCTCGGGGTGTTGTTATCAATCCTCTATGTTGTTTGGTTTGTGGGAGCACCGGGAGGAACTAGACCTCGTCCATTCGCATTGTTGGAAGCACCCGACAATGCCCGCCTCAACTCCATCATGACCTGATCTTTTCGTGAGAGGTGACCCATAATAGCCTTTTGTTGCTCCCTCAGGATTCTTACTGTTCCAGTGACGTGCTCGTCTTCAACATCATCAGGAGTTGCCTCTCGAACATGTCGTGGATATTGCCCGCCATGGACCGGTGTGGCCTCATCTCTCGCGTTGCGGGTGTCACTTATCGAGTCTTCGTGCTGAGGCTGATTTCCTTGGACCTCAATGTTGTGTGCGACGTTGACATCGGTATCTATCATCTTTATGATTTTTTGCTAAGAACAAAGAATCAAACAGGTTAGTTTAGATGCAAGGATCAACTCAATTACGCAACTGTCTTAGCCCCATGGTAGACGCCAAATTGTTTACCCATAAAACCGTACAATTGTACGTAGTTTATAGACAAGCAAATCGATTTGATCCCAAAATGATAAATAAATTAAATAATAATAATATAAGACTTTGCATTGAAATCGAGATAAGACGGTAGATAGCTTGGTTCCAAAGTAGAGCTTCCAAAGGCAATAATAAGGATATTAAGAAGCAAGAAAATTAAGTGTTATTGAGCTTTGAACAGTATATAGCATAAGTTTGTCAGAAAATTTATGTCCTTACAATAGTTGTTGGAATCTTTATTTATAGTGGCACCTAGGGAATAAGGTCCTAGGATCAAGCCCCTCTTAAACGATAATTATGGGGTCGTTGAAGAATGTGTAACAAGAGGCTATGAATGACATATTCTCTATAAAGGATTATGTATTTAATACTGCAGAATATTCACATTGAATGCTATCAGATGACAGGTATTTATCTGTCTTCATGAACAACATTCCATTGGGGGGCTTCCTAGTGCCAGCCGAGACTGCTACCCCCGGTCTTGACTTCCACCTGTCTTGTTTTCCATCTATCTCTGGTTCCACGTGTCACTTTATTATACGAGCATTTGATTTGAACCGATTTTACCCTATACAATCATCACAAGATGAAAAATCACATGTGCAGTTTAAAAGAACACAGTTTCTAGTAAGACTCTGTTTTGTTGTGACTATAAATAAAGCACAAAGTCAAACATTAGTTTTTGTTGGAAGATATTTACGAGAACGAGTGTTTTAGCTTTATGTTGTATTGTCGAAAGCAAAAGCTTCCAATTGCTTCAAGTTAATAATTTGACCCCCAGACAATCATTCTACATACAACATAGTTTATGATGAAATCATTCAAAAGGCTTTCTTGTGAATCCTTAACATGTTATTTTGTGGCGTCTTTTGAACTAAATAGAGTTGAACATATAGTTTTAGCTTTAGCACAGGAACATCCATCTCGTTTGTGACACATGTACTTCCAAATTCCCAGAATAAGGTTGATGCACGTAGTTAAAGCATATTTGTCAATTTCTACATTATGATGATAAAAGGTAATGTGTTGCTATACACAAATTTGTCAAATAGGCTGTACAACATTGTTTTTTCCCTTATATATTCATCGCTTTCGAATTGCTTCTAATCAGGTTGCTTGGACCAATGAGGTTGCTTACCAAGAATTATTTATGCTGCTTCTCTTGGTTTTTGAATTTAACTATAAGTTATTACCTTAAATATATAGTGCATAATATAAATTTCTTCTCCAAAATACTCACGTTATGTATCATTTATCGAAGTCCCAAAATCAAGTCTTAGCACTCAAACCGGTCAGATGCAAATGGCTCAGCCAGAAGAAGCAAGAGTTTCATGTTTCTTTATATATTAAGGTAATTCTTATTTTGCTGTATAATTAGACTTTCGTATTAGATGATTGGAAACTGACCATTCAGCCCAGAAGACAAAAACTAACAAACTGTAGGCAAAGTAACGAACTGTAGGCATCAGTTCAGGTTCAGCTGCTACCTCCCACCAAAATAAGCACCGAATTCTGCCACCAAAACTCAGGCAGATAGGAAAAAATCACCTAATATTTTCTCCTTTTTTTTTGCTGCAATTTAAACCCTGATATCTAAGATTGACCATTACGCCACACTCCTGAGTGCAAAATTTTCACCATATCTTTGTTCATCTAATAACATATCATTAACATGCATTATATATCCTGTTAACGAAAAGTTCCATTAACTACCTTCGTCTCCCTCAATTATCTAAAAGATTCACCTTTTCATTATTGGTTTAAGAACACATCTCAGGATGCATTCTACAAAAATGTCCAGGTACTAATTTCAGCACTTTTGGTTGAATGGTTGTATAAAAAGAAGTTCCAGTCAAATCCCTCTTTTTAAGTGGGTCAATGAATACTAGTGATAATTCCACAAAAGTCTAAATATAGACCAACAACCACACTAGACTCAAAAAGGTGGACTTAAGTATTTCACAACAATTTGAACCTCCAAACCAGTGTATTCTGAATAACATTGTCATTTTTATAAAGCTCATAGGCCATGAAAATCATCAACAGGAGAAGGAAGAAAGACGATACTAAAGTACTTCGCACATGATCTCAACCAAGGAGAAGCATCAAAGACTTTTATTCCGAAACACAGGTTTCCTGCAATGCCAAAAGACAATGTATAATATAAGTTTGATACACATCAATACATCCTAAAATGCGACATTCATTCCTGCTAATTATTTTACAACTATGAAAAGAGCCACCTCAAATTCTAGCATGATAATGTAATCCAGAAAAGTCCAAATACAAACCAGCATGACACTGACCTTGAATATATACATGACTAAGACCTAAAATTAAACAGGTTACATGCATCAGCAGCTTATAAAATCTGTCTTTTTCATTGTCAACTAACTAAACAAATAGTTTTTCTTTATTATGAATACATTGTTTTCAATAGCTTTCTTAATGGAGTTATGCACTATCTCATTAGTTAAAGAGTAGAATTGACTTTGTAAGATTAACTATGGTAGGGGGTTTAGGCTTATATTTTTTGGTGAAATGGGGCTAGGCAGCCAGAACAGATAGTCATTAGTCAATACACCTCGACTCAGCTTATTACCTTTACAAAGGGCTCATAATCAGTTGAAGTGGATTCACAAGTTTGTCACAATGGAGAAATGTCTCTGGAAGATTTCAATACCAAATGAAGCGTGTAGTACTTTGGAAGAAAATTCTGAAATTGATGAAGAAGTTTGGAAACTGAAAGAAAAGTTGGAACCGAATAGATCTTTGAAATACCCCCCCCCCCCCCCCCAAAAAAAACTAAAAAAGAAAAAAAAACATTGTCCAGAGATAACATGAAATACCTAACATGAGCTACACCACATAACAAACATCTAGTGGTTTAGTTTTGATCTATGTTGCGCGGACTCTCCAAAATGCTTCCGCACCCGTTTGTTGGAGTGTACTTTTGGAGGATCCGACACGCACCCAGAGGCTTTTTTGAAGAGCCCGAGCAACATAGGTTTTGATAAGGTAAGCTAGAGAGTGAATAAAAAATGAAACTGCTCGAACTCCCTCTAGATTCTAATTTCAACATGGGAAATTTGTCAGTACACCTGGCATTTGCAAGAATTGTAAGGTCTACAACCTTAAATATCATTGATGAGAAATGGAAGTACAAAGTGATAGCATGTACTGAATGATGAAGGAATTTATAATATCATTGTGATTGCCAGACAAATCATAGACAATCATATGATTCAGTAAGAGGTCACTAACTAGGTGTTACAAAAGCCTGACATTAACAGAAACTGAACTAATAGCTTTAAATAAAGACACTAATGCAAAAATTGCATCCAACTATTCTAACTTTGGTTAAAACTTCTCCAAATTTTGTTGACTCGTTTTGTAGAATATCTCACCAATTATGCACTTGATCTTCAGAGGTTTTCAATCACGACTTTTGTAGAATAACTTGCCATTTAAGCACTGAATCTTCAAAGGTTTCTGATCATATTCTAAAACCTAAAAAGACATAAGTAGCATAGAGGAAGGCAAAACAAGGAGGCTTTCTCGAGTTCAGTTCTAAACACTCGCCCAAACTGCCTCAAAGAAGAAAAGACACCACATAAATGAGCACTTCCACAGATTCTTTAGACTATTAGATGCCAAAAAGAAATCAAATTTTGATAACCCCATAAATAACCCTAAAATGAGTCATGCCACTCTAAGTGCCACAAATAATCAAAATTGATGGACGAGTCAATGTTAGTCCTTTTAGCCTAAAGGCTAAACAGTTAGTTGGTCTACATTTACCCATCAACATCACCAAAGATGGAAAGGATAGTATCATCACAAAAGTGCAGGTGAGAAATAGGCATCTCATCTATCCAAATCCACCACCCAATAGATCTGCCTTCGTCATTCATGAGCGGGCTAGTCAAACATTCACTGCTTATGTTAAAGCAAATCAAGACGATATTAACCATCTAGATTCTTTATAATAGCTGTGGGGTATCCACTAATTGTTAGAAAGTAGGAAGACAAAGTATTATTACAAAAACCAACTAAGCAGTTCCAACTATTACAAAAATCTACAGTTGCTGAATGCCAAGTGTTATGACATAGGCAAAAATATAATTTTTACAATTTGACAAATCTAATGGCTTTTGGTTGAATCAGAAACTCATGATTAACCTATGCAATGTTGACATAGGCAAAAATATATTTTTAAAAGTTGATAAATCTGAAGGCTTTTGGGTGAATCAGAAATCACATGGAAATAGAAGATCATTTATGAAACCTACGCAACTTTTTCCTCATACAGTGGAAACTATTGCTTTTCAAGCTGAGGCTAAAGAAGCACGAATCTTTAAGTTGCAATTGCTAAATCGCAATGAGAGCAAGTTTATGCTCCTTTTAGTACTACATTATTTTTTCTGAAGCCCCAAACTGATTGATTATATGCTAGCTATACTTGCCACGATGCCAAGCAAACTAACCTTGAAATATTGCGCTTGTACTCCATCAAGATTTGAATGTCACCGTTTTTTCTCAACCAAATATAATTTCCTACAGGTTTTTTAGTTGATAATAGCAGCGGCCAGAACATAGTTCTTCATTTTAATAATGACCTCGTCTAAGTTGTTCAGTTTTGCACTGAGAATCTCTAGTGAGATCAAATAGCAAAGCTTTCACACACTTTTTGCCTGTTATGGATAATTTTAATTGCCATTTCCGCAGTACCAGTAAGAATTAGTTTATTTTCAAAATTGGTCGGTGGTCACCTTCCTGTAAAGATTAAAGCACAAAAACTTAAATATTCTTTAGGATCCTAAAATCTCTGATACTAGTGAAAACATATGTTAGCCAGAATTTTCAAAATGAGAATGCCTCAGAATGTGGAAGCATGTACCAAGTCCCAACCCTTGTTTATGTGTTTATCTATAGATATAATGTTGTCTTACCATATATCCTAATCTCAGTGATTATGGGATACCACTCTTAAGAAAGCTTCTCACTTACGTTATGATTAATTAGTCATCTAATTATTAGCAAGCAGTTGCCTGATAAACCAAGATATTTTAAGAGTTCCACACCTCTCACCCACTTTACCGCGATACAAACAGGCTCATAGTAACAGCTGGATCGAAAAAAAAGCTCATTTGGTGAAAGATAAAGCACAATTAAGGAAAGTTTTCCGGAATAGTGAGGAATGGTAGTTCCCCTTAAAAGCACCAACGGCCTAGTGATCAATGAAATGGGACGAAAACCATGAGAAACCAAGGTTCAAATCCTACCCGAGTCAGAAATCGCTAGGTGATTCTTCCTATCTCTATATGCCTTGGAAAACAAAGTTACCCGGTATATGTGATAGGGTTAGTATGTACCTACCATCTCTTTATGCCTTGGAGAGCAGAATTATCCGGTACAAGTGACGTGGGCACTGATGAAATAATCGAGATGCAGCGCAAGCTAATATGGATAACAAGTAGGTCTATCTAAGAAAACGACACAGGTTTCAAATGAAAAATTGTTAAAGCTCATCTTTCTCTTAGATTTGTGTATCAATCTAATTAATCTCTAATGTGCTCATAAGCAATCTCAAGCACGAAATTTCATTATCAAAGCTCACCCATTATTAAAACCTAAAATCGAAAGCAAACAAATTTGATGCCAATTAACAGAACAGAAAAATAACCCTAAAATGTCTAGCAAAGAAGATTACAATCTCCTCTATTGAAATTCAAAGAATATGAAAAGGATAGCTGATTAAAGTACCATATAAAGAGGAACAGAGCCTAAGACGACGACGAAGAAGGAGAAGCAAGGATCTCCATAATCTTCTTGTCCCGCCTTTCCATTGCCACGTCCCACACGTCATTCCCAATATGTTTCGGCTGCAAATTTTAGCCCAAAATATGAATTTAACAGAAAAATATACAAATTAGGTCACAGAATATGCTGCAGAAAAGGTCAAATCTTAGATCTGGAAAAGGGGGATTACCCGACCATGGGCAGCTTTGTGGATGAAATACTGAGCATTGCCCATAACACAAAGCATACCAGCTATGATTCCAAGTGGAAGCATTGCTTCTAACCACCTCAAACTCATCTTCCCTTCGTTCGTTTGTTCTTCTCTCTCGTTGTTTTTTCCTTTATCGCAGGTTTGATTGATTTCGAGTAGATACTGTTGAGAAGATGGAAACTGACATTTTGTCAATTAAACCTCTACTTACTCTCACTGGTCAAACTGGACCGTCACTTGGGCTAGGCCCATTTTAGATCCGCTTGAGAGGAAAAATTTTATTAGAGATTTTTTCTTCCTATACCATATATGAAACTTTATCACCAAATATGTGCATAGCTTCTAATTGTCCACACTTTTTCTACAATTGTTATACCATTCATTAAATACTAATTATTAGTAGCTGAATCTTCCTAATTAGGCGCGCTAAAATCCAAGAACAGAATATTCTAATTGATTTTAAATTGAAGATAAAAGGATTTCCGTCTGCAAAACCTCTGTTCTTCGATATTTTCCCTTAAGCCACAAATCAAAAGCTCAGTTCGTCGAAGTCAGAAGCTCAATTTCAAAATTGTAGAAATCAGTTCTGCAAAAGCTCAGTTCGTCGACTTTTTTCCTCAATCCACTAATCAAAAAATCAACAAATTCAAGTCAAATTGTAGAAATCAATTCTACCGATTCTCTGTTCTTCGTCTTTTTTTCTTAATCCAAAAAATCAAAAAAGCGACAAAATATTGAACAATTCCTCAGCAACGACACGCAAACATGTGCCAAATCCCAATCATGCTACATTTTAATGGGAATTGGGATAGCTATGGCAGATTTAGAGATTTTCAAGTTGATGGCATTGTGCTCGATGAGGATGCAAGTTACAGTATGTTGGTTTCTACAATTGCAGAGCAATTACTGATTAATACTTCGGAAAAAATTGTAGAAATCAAATACATTGTGAATGAGAATTGTCCTCCAATGGAGATTAGGAACAATATGGGGGTTCGTGTGTATATGGAGACAAAAAAGGAGAATAAAAACTTAGGATCGTATCCGTTACTTATAAGTGTACGAGATTTCAATATGGAATTGACTATTGCAAATGAGAACACAAGTGCAGGTTTGTTATGTTTCAAATTCTATGGAAGTCTGATTTTACGGTAATATCTACAAAATTCCTACATTTATCTACAAATAAACTACACATCAGTTTTAGGATGTATAAAGCAATATTGTTTTCATGCTTATCAACAAAATTACTACATTTATACTACAATTAAACTACAATCCATGTTGAAAAAATGTTGACTACAAAATTTTCTCTTCATCTACAATTTATCTACAAAGATTCTACAAAATTGTAATGACACTGTTTATCTTTATTTTCATGCAGGCTCGTCTGGGACAATGCAGTTACTTGATATGTCAGCCTCTCCCGTCATAGAGAAATATCAAAGTGAAATAATAACTGAAGGTACACAAAGTGTTATCGAAGAAGGACAAGTGTATCAAGACAAGCAAACAATTGCAACTGCAATGAGGCACTATTCTATCATGCACAAGTTCCAATTCAGGGTTAAAAGATCTAGCCACAGAAGGTATGAAGATATTAATGGTGAAAAGATCATTATAAACAGTATTTTCCTTGTGATATGTAGATGAAAAGTAGTTATATTGTATAGTGTGTTACTTTATGTTAAAACAGTCCTTTTGTTACATCTACATTGATAACCTGTATTATAAATATATTTTGTTGTAGCTACTGGCTTATATGCGTTGCAGAAAACTGTAATTGGCACTTCAAGGCAACATCAATTAATGATTCTGCAATGTTCAAGATCAGGAGTTTCAACCAACAACACACATGCACCTTAATGGACGATACATTCATACAGCGCAAACGTACTGCAATTGTAGTCGGTATCATGGTCGTGCCAAAGTATTGTGATCCTAAGACAGTTTACACACCAAAGGACATACAAACTGACATGTTGTCCCAACACGGAGTGAACCTAAGCTACATGCAAGCATGGAGAGCAAAGGAAAAGGCTTTACAGTTATCGAGAGGTCATCCGGCTGACTCCTACAACAAATTACCAAAATATTTTTATATTCTTGAGAAGACGTATCCTGGTTCAGTTGTTAAAATTGAAGAAGACAACATATGAATGCTTCTTATATGCATTTGTTGCTCTTTGTACATCAATAAGTGGTTGGAAATATTGTAGACCAGTAGTAGTGGTTGATGGGACATTCTTAAAGACAGCCTACAGGGGGATTATGCTGACAGCAAGCACAATGGATGCAGCAGGTAAAATTGTAGTTATTTTGTAGGCAGTTTATAAATTTAAGATACATTGTAGATACTCTGTAGATATATTATAGTTTATATGTATTTGTGTTTTTATATGCATTTTCAAAGCTGCCAGTTAATTATTTTTTTACTAATAATGTAGGTACAATATTGCCTTTGGCATATGCTGTGGTTGATTCGGAAAACGACGCATCGTGGAAGTGGTTTTTTGAGCAATTCAAGCAAGCATATGGTGAAAGAACTTCAATGTGTGTTGTTTCAGATAGGAATGAGAGTATCCTGAAGGCAACATCAATTGTCTATCCGGGCGTGCCACACTACTCTTGCGTGTGGCATATTTGGACAAATATAAGGGCAAAGTTCAAGAAGGGTCATCTACAATTAAATGAATTGTACTTTGCTACAGCAGGGTCATACACTCTGGATGAATTTAATGAAAGGATGTCGAAGATTGAAGAGATAGACCCGCGTGTTAAATCATACCTCTATGATATTGGCTATCATAGATGGTCAAGAGTACATGCAACGGTGAATAGAACTTGGACTATGACATCAAACATTGCAGAGTCGTTGAATGCTGTAACAAAATATGCAAGAGAGCTGCCAATATTTGACCTATTAGAGTATATGAGGACACTTCTTGAACGTTGGACGAAAGAGAAGTTATTGAAGGCAAAGGGTACTTTCACATACCTTGGGTACAAATTCAACAAAGAATTGGAGAAAAACAGTACATTATCTCAGAAACTTAGGGTAAGATCTGTTTATTTGGTGCAGAAAAATAATATTTTAATATACAGTATTTCCAGATTGTAGATAAATTGTAGACAAATTGTAGTTAATTTGTAGATTGTAGATAATTTGTAGATAAATTGTAGATAATCTATTTTTATGATTGTAAATATTTTTCTTTCTGTTTGTTATGTAATTGTAGGTGAGGGCTTCAACAGATCATATCCATACTGTGATAGATGGTGTGAAGCGGTACATTGTGTGTCTTGAAAGCAAGAAATGTACTTGTGGCCAGTTCCAACTTGATGAACTTCCATGTGCGCATGCTTTGGCAGCTTTAAGGGACAGGAATGAAGGATATGAAAACTATTGCTCTCCGTATTACACAAGGGAGAGCCTACTGCGTACATATGAAATACCAGTAAATCCCCTTCCTGATGAAAGCAAATGGAATGTGCCACAACATATATCTGATGAAGTAGTAAATCCACCTACGGGAGAGAAAAAGCAGCCAGGAAGACCTCAAAAGGAAAGATACAAAACATATGATGAACTAAAGTCAAAGAAGTACAAGGTGTCATGTGGAAACTGTGGAGGTGAAGGGCATAACAAAAGATCTTGCAAGAATGCACCCAAAAAAAAAATATCATGTAGTTAGAATAGTATTTCAAAATAATTGTTAGTGTGTTCAAGTTAACAGAATTTTGTGTGTAATCGTTTAAGTTTTTAAAGATCATAATGTAGTTAACTTCAATTTGTTTCCGTGTTTGTTAACATGTTTTTCTGTATTGTGCCAAGCATCTACCTCCATTTTTTACATTCTGTACATAGCAGTTAATATTTATTATCTACAATATAACTACAAGTTTAAAAAAATTAATTTAACTTGAACTGGCAGTTATATACAGAAATTAAATACAACTGGAGGTAAATCCCTACAAATTATATACATATTCAACTATAAAATTATATACAATCTCAACATTTAGTGTTTCCAGATTGTAGATAATTTGAAGTTTTTTTTGTAGATAATTTGTATTCTGACAACATAATAACTACGTTTAAGATAATGAAGAACAAGTGCTGTAAATATTAAACAACTGGAGATAAAACCACCAAGTTATTTTTAAGTGAACTACTAAACTGAATAGAAACTAACAAAACAAAAGGTCTGCTACAATAAAAACACAAAGGAATTGTTCAGAAAGTTGTGTACTATACTTATCCTACAAACTAGCATCAACTAAATTACATATACATGACACTACTTCTTCTTTCTCTGTGCTCTTGTTTTCTCATTCAATGCAGGTGCACCCTTCCTCCTTGCTAGTCTGCCTGTAACCTCACTTTCACTGATTGACCCATCTTCCTGCTTCTTTGTAGCATAGTCCCATAGGAGCGCTCCATAGCGTCTACGATATTGGTCAATATCAGAAAGGTCTTCTACGGGAATTGACAAATCTCCAAGGCTAACATACTCCGCAAAGGCAGCAACAAATACACCACAATCGCTACAGAATACAAAATTTAAAAAATATTTACCAAATGATTAGAAATAAAAAAAAAGAATTAAATGCATAGAAAGAGAGAATAGATTTTTTACAGTGACCCTTCTTTTTGCTGTGGAATCTCTCCAACGAGCCACTGAATGTTAAGAGGGTCGGTAACTGGTTTTTCGATGTATGGCTTTGTAGTCTCGAAGTTAATGTCTTTACGCTTCCCATAGAAACCAGTGCATGACAAATACAAAGGGATAGTAACAAAAAACTTATCAACACAGGATTCAACAACTTGATGGTTGTGTGAAGAGACCATGGAATCATATGCATAAAGTTGCCTGTCTGCAATGTCGAAAACAACCAACACCCAATGGAATTTTTCTACAATTTTGACGGGCATGATCACATAGTAAACTTGATCCCATGCAACATTGGCAAGTAGTCTATACCCCAAAATATATTCTGCAACAACATCTTGGGGTTTAACAACAGAATACCTCTTTTCTGGAGGTGAATTTATGAACTTTTCATAAATTTGTTCTATCCTGGTCTTGAACACACAATCCGTTGTGGTAAACGTGGTCGTGTTATTGGGACCATACTTGCCTCTTTTACTCAAGTAATACATTAAAACATTAATGTGCTGCAACCAAAAATAGTTGGCATATAAACAGCAAGTCAACTTCAAATAATCTACATAAAACTACATTATAACTACAATTAACTACAAAACAGAAACAAAAAATATAAAATAATGTCTAAGAACAGTTCTACAATTTAAACTACAAAACAGCATTTAGAATTATGTCTACATCATATCTACAATTTATACTACAAGGCATCTTCATATATTATAGATATCTATAACAAAAATACAATTAAACTACAAAACAGAAGACAAGATATCTACAAATCATATCTTGGAAATAGACTCCTTGATACTTACTGAGTCATTGAGGACTTGACCGGGGTGAGCCGGGGAATAGAACCATTCCTTATTATCAACCTTTTCCACTCCAAGGTCTAACCAAGACTTAATTTGGTTATCCTTTATGGAAAACGGAGCCTTCCTCATGTGACAACAAATAAATGACAAAAAAAAAATTGTAGAATGAATTAGATATGTAAAAGATAAATGCTGAAATGCAATTGTCAAATTATGCATTCATACCTCTTTGAACCTTTGTCACTAGATTGGTATAACCACTTGCTGAAGTTCTCTAAAATATCCGGATCTACATTTTCACCAATAACAGTAGTAAAAGGGTGCTTGAGGTAGAAAATTTTAGGTCCGGTCGAGCTGCTGCCCCCGGAACTGTATAGAGGGATAAATGGTGATCGGGCATGCTTTCCCGGATGCCTTGTTCTCCCCGGATGCATAGGTGTTGCATCATCTTGTATGGGCTCGCCAAACATAACCAACTGGGATAAGTTGTCAGGCAACTCAAAATCATCTAGTGTGACCCCATTCTTCTCAACTCCTGATCCTTCTGAATCACCTAGATCCACATACTCTGCATCTGCACTTTCATTGTCATCTTCCTCGATGACTTGCTCGGTCTGAGCTGCTACTGTCACTCCGTGAATTGGGGACTGTGCATTGATATCTTCCATCACTGTAACACAATTCATATCTTACTTAACAAGAATGTTGAAATTTATAAACAACAAGAAAATATCTCTGAATAACAGTACAATACCTGCTTTGTCTTCATCAGCTGCAACTTGAAAATGTTTGATGAAGATTTTCTTGACCAACTGCACCTTCAACATGTTCTGTTTTATAATTAAAAATGGTAAATAATACTGGATAATGGTGGCTTGAAATTTGTAGCATATAAACTATCAAAATTATAGATAATTTGTGGATAAGTGTAGATATGTTGTATATTCACTGACACAAATTGTAGATACTTTATAGGTATTTTGTAGATACCTATTTTGGTGATGTTGGCCTGCACTTGTTCCCCAATATTGAACTGAAAATGCTCATTGTTCAAGTCTTTTTGTTGGTCATTATTTTTTGTTGAACTGCCAGCAAAGTGAATGTTTTATGTTAGTTTGTATAAATTTTAAAAATATATAAATTATTTTGCTATAAAAATAAAAGTCAGATCTTACCTTTGCATCATCTTGCACATTTCTATTGTTTATCATTTGCAAAACAGTCTGCACAGAATCATTTATAAACACTCGAAGGCTATCGAGTTCTACAAAGACAGCTTTCCTAAAATCTTCAAGCTTTCCATCAACCTACAAGTTACAATATAGTAAGTTGTTAACTTCATAATATGTCCTAACATACAATGCAAAAACATATGCAATTATATAAAGATATATATCAGAATTTACAAATTTGTAGATATTTGGTAGACAGTTTAAGAAATGTAGATATATTGTAGATAAACTATAGATATATTGTAGTTTATATGTATTACCTGCGCAATTCCTTTTTCTAATTTGCTGATCTTCTCAGCAATAGACTCCGTGTCCTCTTCTCTATTGGTTTGTTTGGGTTCCAATGTAGGAGGATCAGCATTGGGAAACTCAGATGTTTGTTCACCTTCTTGAACTTTGTACTCAATTTGTCGGGCAAAATCAACACTGCAATCTCTTCTCCAGATTCAACTATGTTGGTAAACTGAATGAGGAAAAATAAATTAGTTTGATCAAGGCAGAAAATGTAGAATAATTGTAGATATTTTGAAGGTAATTGTATAATCATAAAAAAGGAAACTTTACCTTTATCCACTCAGGCTCTATCATCTTCTCTTCAAAGGCAGCTAACCAAATCTGCCCCTTACTAGCTGACCATCTTAGTATGCGAGGTATTGAGTTAGAACACCTCGTAGCTAGATCAGTGCTGACAGTAGAGCAATACTCATAAAGCCATACTTGCAATGCTAGTGAGCATCCCCGTATGAGATAAGAATGTACATACGGATTTAGTCTGTGCCTAACAGATTCCATCATCTGGGTGAAAGATTTAATACCCCATGGGTATGACTCATACTGCCCAGATTCTACCAAATAGAACCTAAAGTGATCTACAAAAGAAACATGATCTTTGTCCGAAGGACAAATGAAAAATTCTAAAAGATAAAGGATGCACAACTTCACCGCATCCTCATCGTTTACCCAGGATTTAGTGGTTACTATCTGTTTCAAATATGACTTCTCCACTCTTAATTTGTTAGGAAAATAACTGCTCATTATTTTGCTAACATAAGTGGGAGTATAACCAAAATCAGTAACCTGGGTAACACATCTTAGACCAGTAATTAATGCAAACTCACGCAATCCAAAATTTAATGTTTCACCCTTTAATTGTACAGAAAAATATGACGCATTGGATTTGGTCAATTCATACTTCATCAGAAGATGAATGGCTTGGTTTTGCATGTATATGGTGGGAAGAGACAGTAAGTATCCAAAACACGTCTTTTTGAAAAGATTCAGCCCATTTGAGGATAGAAGCTCTTTAATCTGGCTAGGAATGCTAGGATCACACAAAGTGTGGAATCTAAGCACCCCATAATCAACATTATATGGGGCAAAAAACTGTCCATTCTGCACAAATAGTAAATTAATTCACATTAATAAAATACATAAAAAGGATAAATTCATCTATATTTTATCTACAACATAACTACAAATGATTACATAATATCTACAATTTAAAGCATTTTCTACAATTCTGCTTCAAATAGTACAAGTTACCTAACAGTATAACTACAAAAAAACTATAAAATATCTACAACTATAAAGGCAGAACATCACAACTACAAATAATCTTCAAAATTAAGACAATTAATCTACACTTGTCTAAAACACGTATAACACAGATTTTACCATCCTAAACCAAACTAAAAAATTAGAAACAAAACTAATAAATGTTTACCTTCGCCAATGATTGGTTCCGAACAATTTTATGGTGTTTTTTTTGAATGTTTCTTCATTTTTAGATTTTTCGAACCAGGAGACACCTTTGATTTCTTTCCTGTTCGAAGATTAGGGACCTCTTCTACAAAGTCGTCATCTACAGAAATCTCTTTTCCTTTTCGTTTGACTCGTTTGACTGGTGTAGAATTTTCTCCAGCATCTACATCATGTTTTTGTTTGGTTCTCATCTCGGCTCTGATTTGTCGGGGAGAGGAAC